ATACTGAAAAACGAATGAACGAATGATACACAGATTCATTTGACCTCAAGAGCTGTTTACACAAAATATCTGTACACGACGGAAAAAACAAAAAACAGATACAGGGTCTTTAAAATCCCATTAAATTCAGCAATACCATTTCTAATATTTGATCTGGGCCTTGGTTTTCACCGCTCAGTCCAGTGTAAATACAGTATGTAGATTAGAATGACTAACCCGGTGCTATCTTGAGAACAGAGAGAATTGTTGAAAAGGCGCTGGATTCTCCTCTGTCCTATATCTTTGCGCAGACTGTGAGTATGATTCATGAATGAGCCCACAATAACCAGCCCCCTCCCTGAGCAAACACTGCGGTCAATACGGCCGCTCCACCCTCGTATTGATCTGCACAGACATTACGTTGCGGCTTTCATCGTCTCAAGTCAAAACAATAATATTTTGATACTCCTACATGCAAAAATAAAAGCCCATGTTAAGCTTTTTTCGGATTTACTGGTCTGTGTTATGATGTTTCTTCGTCAAAAACAGACCTGGAGTTGTGTTTTGTTTGATTTGCGCATGTTTAACTCGCAAATCCTGAATATTTAGGCTGAGTTCTTCTTGTCTCAAACAGAAAACAGACGCAGACAGACTAATAATAAAGGATTAATCAAACTTGTGAATGAAACAAAACACAAATCCATGTAGAGTCCAATTTGTGTAATATTGGACCTTTGGATTCTTCATCGTTGTTCGCAGAGGTCGGGACTTGGACTCGAGTCAGATTTGAGTCACTATTTTTAGGACTTACGACTTGACTTGATGAAATGAACTAAGAATTCGGACTCGATTTGGACTTGAGCCCTGTGACTTGAGAAGATTTGATGCTTCTCCTAAAAAAAATGTATTTATAAAAGGCTTTTCTCTTTACGGTTGATAAATGCGGCGCTGAGTTTTACAGGAACAAACTGGAACATGTCCGTCCCACTTCTGTTTGTTACTTTGGATGAAACTGAAGTATATATGTCTTTAATGTAAACATAAACTGTATTTGTTTTACCCAGATCTTTTGACTTTTTCATATATTCTTCAGATGTTCACACCTGCTCTACTACGAAACACTGCAGAGACTTTTATCTTGTCTTGTGCAGAACTTCCATGAATCAAAGAACACTCAAGTTCACAGGACCGACCCTCTGGAATAATTGAGCAAATACTCTCAAATCAATTTCCTCACTGGACTATTTTAAAAGACAATTAAGGCCATACTGACTTGCCAAAGCCTGATCCCGTCAGATCTCAGAAGCTAAGCAAGGCCGGGGCTGGTTAGTACTTGGATGGACGACCTCTGGGAAAATCAGGTGCCACAGTGTTGCGCCGGTCGTAAAAATTGTTGTTCTGTCCTTAGGCAAGGCACTTCACCCTCATTGCCTAGACAAACATTGATTTGTAATGTTATTTAATATTTGAACTACTGATAGTCAACTTGTGTGTTCATGACTGTTGTAATAAAATCATGTTTATAGGAGAGGTGATCTTATAAGACCAATAAAGTCTTGTTATTCTCTCCTGCACAGTCATTTCTGTTTTTATCTGTTTAAAATGTTGTTTTTAATACACGTGCAAATAAAATCTATCTATCTATCTAAGTTCTGTGATACTCAAATGTACTACAGCACAGGTGTCAAACATAAGGCCCGGGGGGGGGGCCCTCCAAGACCTTTAATGTGGCCCTTATGTGATTTTCTACTAAAATATTTAAATTATATTTTCTATTAAAATATTGGTAATTTTCTGCGGTGCTGAGCATAGCAGCATCTCCAGCGTCTCTGTACGTGGCCCCTCCCACCAGAGCAGCACAAATGAAGACTTGTCCCTTTCCAAAAGCTCTTAAAGAACGATCGTTTTGACTGTTGACCGTGACACCCTCATCAGAAAAATGTCAAAAATGAGAAGAGTGGAGCCGAGTGCAGGATTTTCCAAGATAAATGGACTTATTCTTATTTGCATACAAGTTCATGTTAAAACATTGTGTTGAAATTGAATTTTTCTTAAAGTTTCAGGTTGTTCATAATAATATAAACATATAATAAGAAAAAGTTCATCAATTAAAAAAGATTTCTGTAATAGATTTGTGTTTCTCTGCACAAATATTTGAACTTATTGTTATTTTTGAGGTTTATATGCCATGAGTTTTCTGATCCGGCCCCTTTGTGATCAAAGTAGGTTGGAATCGGCCCCTGGACCAAAATGAGTTTGACACCCCTGTACTACAGTAATGTACAGAAGACTACAGTAAAACAGAGGGAACTACATACAACGTGATCCTTCATGACAAAATAACTTTTAGTACTTTTAAATCTTAATTCATTCTATTCTGACTGTAATGATTCACACAAAAAAATTCATATAAATAGCAAAAATCTAAGCTATATGTGATACTTTTTTGTTGAAATGACTTGAAGCTCAAAGCAGACGACTTGGACTTGACTTGGACTAATGGGTCAGTGACTCGAGACTCGACTTGAACTTGCCTGTATTTGACTTGGGACTTGACTCGGACTTGAGGTCAAACACTTGAGACTTGCAAAACAAAGACTTGGTCCCACCTCTGCTCTAGACAATACATGAAGTGCTCCACTGTGTTTTTAAACTGTACACACTTGTTTGTGTGATGACATACCATAAAGGAAGTATGAAGTGGCTTTTTTTCCAGTCAAGAAATCAGCTGACTTCTTTTAATAAGTTGTTTTAGATCAATATTGTGATGAAATGATGATAAAATGATAACAATCCATGAGTGTCATAGACTAAAACTACAGTATATAGTACACACAAACACTATATATAATCAAATCGCTATATGGTACTCTACTGATTTTAATTTTTCCCACATTGTTAACCAAAATAAATGACATTCATATTTGTAAACAGGGAACTCAGTGGGGAATTTCTGCCTATGAATTTATTTTAGAGGGGGGCCCATGTGAGCTTTCTTGCCCCAGGCCCCCAAAATTTCTGTCGCCGGGCCTGTTTGTAAATCTGATGTCTTGAAATTACATTAAAAATAAATAAAATAAAACAAATAAAGAAGTAACATTTGTTTTTGGTGTTGTTTTTGTTTCCCGTGTACGTAAAAAAACAATCAATTCAAGTCTAAAGGAGGAGGAGATCCCAGAATTTCACAACATTCAGTGTCAAAGTTCGCTTCTACAGATTCTCCAACTTTCCAAAAAAAAGTGTTCTAGGTCAGGATTTACTAGGTTTGTTAAAGGAACTGCTTGTATTTTTTATTTAAAATTTCACAAACTTGACTTATCTGTGTCCCCAGGTACGAGGTAAACATGTTCAAATCAAATATCGCTTTTACTGAAAACAGATGTAATGCCGATTTATTCTTAGTCACAAAAACATTGGGCGTGACGGACAAACTTCTCTTTTGTGTTGCCAGTTCCAAAGCTGAAATCCAGTTGTTTTAAACCTAAAATACCTCTTTTTGATCTGAATGGTCACTACTTAAACCCCAGCATCTGTGCACCTTTAAGATGACTGACAGAAGTTAAAACACAGACATCTTTTCCACCCACATGGCTCTTCTGTGCTGTTTCTAATAAAAGCAGTCTATGTATTAGTAAGTCTTATCGCTTTTGTTTTGGTTTGTTTTGGTTCCCTAAAACACAGCGCTGCTCTGTCATTGGCCCACTGGCTCAATCCATCAGTTGATTCAAGCGTCGCATGAGTTTGTGACTCACATTTATAAATCCATGAAGTGAGTTTGTTTGAAAGAGCCCATGAGCCAGATGCACACAGCGTAAGAATCTTCAAGCACAATTTGTCTTTTAACTAGACCACAGATGTTTTCAAATACAGTGGTTTATGTTTAATATCTCTGTAATAACTGGACCTACATGAAAAAGGTTCAGCAGCATCATCACAGAAACTGACAAGGAGGAATATTTTTTCTTAAAATCAAGTGGCGCTATTATTCAGACAGATGTGATTCATGTCATAGTATATGTCAAACTCAGGCGCGGGGACTAAATTTGGCCCGAGATAAAATTATCTTTGGCCCGCGAGATCATAGCAAATATGTGTTAGAGATGATCTGCCGGCTACAGATAGACTATAGAGACATTAATTATTTAAAATTGTATTATTATTTTATTATTATTTTATATTTTGCTTGTTCTGGATTCAATGTTTAAGCAAAACTATTATTAAACATTTATTTTAATAAGAAAAGGTTTAAGATGACATATCTTGAAAGAAGAGAAAACAAGCATATGTTGTTGAAATTTTACAATAAATATTTAGTTTGGCCCATGACTTAGTCCCAGTTTTTAATTTTGGCCTCTGTGAATTTGAGTTTGACGCCCCTGCCCTGGACCAATCACAGACTGGACCAATCACATTGCAGCATTGAGGTTTGTGTAGAGGCCAAAGGCAAAGTGAGGCAAAGCAAACCAAAACAAACATGGTGATGCCACAAACGTACTTCAGCTTATTTTAGCATCAGTACAAAATATGAAGAAGGGAAGAGCTTTGAGCATTTGTGGCCATGTCTGTGCTTTTCTCTCAACTAGATTTAACTAAAATGGTATTTCTTAGGCTACGTTTGTATGAATGCGGTCTGAACAGAAGACGCAAAAGTAGCGTTGTGTCTTCACTTTTTATTCTGCGTTTAGACGAGCGTTTTCGGGAGGAAATCTGCGTGCATACGGTGATGCAAAAGTGTGTGGAATTCGATTGGGTATGCAAGCCAGGTGGCTCGGTGGTGATGTATGTGATGTAAATATGTGAGCAGATCTGACCAGAGTTTTGCGTCTTGGGCAGTGTAGACGGAAATGCTACGGCGGAGCATATTCAACTTTTCCACTCTGGAGGGTTTTGCGTTTTTTAAACCCCAAAAACGCCGTCACCGTCTAAACGAAAGGCACTTCCGATAAAATATTTTGTCATTTTTTCCCGCAAGTGTTCTCATGTAAACAGGCTCTCAGTTTGTTAAAAGAGATGTGACTCACCCCCTGCGCTGTGGAGCTGGGCAGCCCCCTGACGCTGTGTCTGTTGAGTTTTTCCTGCTCGTTCTTCTTACTGAACAGCTCCTCCATGCGCTCCGTGTCCAGCTCGTACTCCCCGTCGGGCTGGTCCGCCGTCCAGATGTTGTGCCTGCCCAGGACCGAGTGCTTGGGCAGCGTCTCCCAGTTAAAGTTCCTCATGGTGGAGCGGCGCTGAGCGGAGCCGAGGCGAGAGGGGAGTCCCGGGGCGGGAGGTGGCGGCGGCGGGGGAGGAGGTGGGGGTGGCGGGGCGGAGGTGGCGGAGGAGGAGGAGGAGCAGGGGGGGCGGGGGCACATTCTGGCTGCATCTCGGGACGGGGTTCTTTCAGCAAACGGTCAATGTCCTCATAATCGGAGAGCTGGAAAGTAGAAGAGTAAAGTTATGATGTAAGTAAAAGTGTGAACCTGTGAAGTCGGAGATTTGCAACACACTATATTTAGCCTCTCATGACATTCCTATTAAGATAAGGATCCTTTGGTGAAGTCAACGTGAGTTCGACCGGTTGTGATGAGAAACGGGGTCAGAAGCAACACACGATGTCACTTTAACATAATCAGATCCAGAGGTTAACACTTACAGCGGCAGCAATGACTCAACAGAAACGTGTGTCGCAATTCACAAACATGCCGATTTCCTGTAAGTCCATAAACAGAAAAGAATGCAGCTACAGAAATGGTAAGTGCAACAAAATCATTCTTATTCACAAAAGGGTTGTCAAAAGTATCGAAAATCTGATTCTAACCAAAGCTAAAACTTATATCGAGACTAGATACTCATTTGAGCAGGTATCGATACTAAAAAGTCACATTCACAGGACAGAAATGAAGCTTTCCAGAATAGTTTAGAATGATTTTGAGCTGAATCAGAACAAGTTTAAGACCACAAATAGACTAGTAAACACCCATGCACCACTGAGGGATTACACAGACATAAGGCCACATGGGAATATCGAAGAAAGTACTATGATTTAAAAGTGCACTGTGCAACTTTTTGGTGGAGAGTTCTCTACGTACTTGTCTTTGTGGTGATTTTATTGCTTTACCTGTGTGATATTAAACATTAGAGGTGTGCAAAAATATCAAAATATCGATATATCGTACCGTTTAATGCCTGGGTCTCCAACTTTTTCCCCGAGTGAGCTACCTTTACAAAATGAAAATTCCAGAGAGCTACTCATTTTTGCGGTCTCAGTAAATAAAGTAAACATAAGAGCCATGACGAGACTTTATTTATTTAACCATAATTTATTTATGAGTGCTCAAAGTCAAGCATCAAAATGATAGATTTCCAATAAAATAGGCTTTTAATTCATCAAATTTGAGTTATTCAGGACAATATGTGTAATTCAAAAATCCCCTGGTGAGCGACTTTGGAGGGGCTGGTTTAATGTGATGATACAGTATCGATATCGTGTGCTACTGTATCGATATATCAAGAGTATTATTTGTTATATTTTTCTAAATTATTTAGTTATAGTGCTACAGTTTAGTTGCTTGTTTAGTGGAAGGAAACTCATTTATGCGACACATTTGACATTTTCACTGTTTTGATGATTAAAATGTTTGTGTTTCATTTTCACTTTGCACAATAAGTGGTTTAACAAAGACTTTTAGCATCACAGCCACGATTTAGCATTTATTTTTATTGAACCGTATCGAATCAATTTGAAATATATCATATCAAACCGGAAGCTCACTGTATCGAGATATGTATCGTATCGGCAAGTTCTTAATGATACCCAGCCCTGTTAAACATACATGTAGCATTTATTCATTTTGGGTGTTTCTATTGCTCAGAAAATACAGTATTTCCTTCTGTGAATAGGCGCGACTCACCACAGATCTGAACTGTAATGTAGCATAGTGCCGTAATTAGAGATGTAATAATATCCAAATCTCTCGGTACGATATTATCACGATATTTATCTCACGGTACAATATTTATTGCAATATTTTGGAGGGGCTGATATAATTGTAGACAGGACACTTTTTTTTGCTTTTAAACTACCCTGACAATATTTGGAATTCTGACGAAGATTTCAAGTAAAAACATATTTCTTCGTGTTGTCTGTGCTGAAATGAATCATGGGATATGTAGTTCCTGATGGTTATAAGCTATTGCAGCTGTAAAACAACACATTTAAACAAACAAACTTGTAATGCGATATATTGTGACAGCCCATGATATTATTGTGAGACTTTTGATGATACGATATCTCAATATTTTGGTTATTGTTTACATCTGTAGCCGTAACCTGCTTGTCTCCCTCGTGATAGATGGTTTAATCAATACTGTGGAACATTCTAGACAAAGCAATAACATTTCAAAGGAGACAAGTATGTAGCGGACCCTCCACTTGAAAATGTTGAAAATCACATACTGTTGTCTAAATAAAGTGTTTTTTATTATTATCATGGTATTGGAATCAGTATTTAGTATCGAGTCAATTCCTTAGTATCGAAATCAAGTTTGAATTTTTTGTTTCGTAACATTAATTATCTATCATTTAAGTCATTTATTCTCTGAGATACTTGATGTAAGAATAAAGGCGCATCTAAAGTAGTAATACTGGTTTAAACCTATACAATGCAACTTTCCAGATTGTTCTTGTCGCCACGGAGATGTTATTGTTTTGCCTTTTTTCTTTCACAGCAAGTCTCGTTTTAGCTAAAATCTAAAACTTGGCCTGGTGATGGAAATACTACGTTTAATGCCGCAGTGTGGAACTTTCTAGGCAAAGCAGTAACATCTCCATGGCAACAAGCAGAAGGCAGCAGGCTCTCCACCAGAAAAATTACACATCGCACCTTTAAATAAGACAGATTTTAGCCACGCTTTCAAACTACTTTCTTATTTTGGTTCTTATTTAGGCTTCAACATAAGATATACACAATAGTACAGTAATATTTGTAGTAGAAGTAGTAGTAGTAGTAGCAGTAGTAGTATAGTATGCCTACATAGATTTTTTTTTTTTTGCCGAGGTATGAAGACTAATAAGTTAGGTAATGTTTTTATCGGGTTTTTAGTACAGTATTACGTTTTTAAGAGTTAGTAGAGCTTCTAATGCAGTATATAATATATGTAATAGGTAGGACAAAGTACTGGATTAAAAATACTAGCCATACTACTACTACTACTACTATTACTACTACTACAACAACATAACTACTATTAATATCATTACTAAGCCACTACCACTAGTACAAGCCTATAAAACTCAGAGTTACGGTTTACTACTACTACTACTACTACTACTACTACTAATAGCCAGAGGTGGGCAGAGTAACCAAGGCTTGTACTCAAGTAAGAGTAACTTTACTACATTAAATTTATCCGCTGGTACCAATAAAGTAACCTTAGAAAGAGAATATTTACTCAAGTAGAAGTACAAAATAGTGGTCCAAGAAATTACTCAAGTAAAAGTAACTTAAAGAGTCACTGTAACATTTGATTTATAATTTAAGTGAATGTATTTGAAGGACAATAACGCACAAAATCTGGTACTTCAATAAAAATATGTAAAAGTATGCTGGAAGAAAAATACTATTTCTTTTCAAAAATATAAATAAGTCTTACGTAAATAGTATTTTTCCTAAACCTTAACCTAAAAGTATAACAGATTTTTAGATATCATTATTTATCACGTGTTTTTATACTCTACTGCTCTAGCCTGATCCGTGCGTAAAAGTTTTCCAAAACGCTTCAAAACTCACCTTTTCAAACAGCGAGTCTTCTGTGAAATCCCTCAGTGAAAGTTCCAGTATTTCCTTCCCGTATTTCTGTAACTTCTCCGACGCAGACTTGAGGAGTTCTGTCCGGGACCAGCGAAGAGGAGAGGAGTCGATACCGAGTGAGATCCGCCCCTACATGCCCAGACCAAACCCACGCCTTCTCCCAACTCAAACATGGATTTAAAGAAGGATTATCCACAAATCTGGCACCGTAACTGAGGTAATCATTTCCGTGATTGATTCCGTGGTGACTCCGTGGAATCACTAAACTAAAGTTTAATGATCCGGGAGAATTGTATAACCAGATAAGAAGAAGTAAACTGATAGGAACGTGGATTGATTAGCGCTCATGCGTAAAAGACTACAAACATGGCGGATCAGACGTTGCGGTTTGTGTGGACATGTGCGTAAAGTGTGCGTTTGATCAAAAGATCAGTTTTAAATGGGGGTGTGAAAGTAAATTAGCATAGAAATGTGTTGAAACCTGATCATGAGGGGATAATCTCTTTAAGAGGACGACAGATACTCATCTAAATTAATAGATTAGTAGTTAAGAGAGACTATTTTGGTAGATTAGGCAAAATAGACGACGAAGAATAAACGTTTAAAAGTAAAAAAAAAAAAAAATAAATAATAAATAATAATAATAAAAAAATGCATAATGTTACATAGTTTTTTTTTCAGACCAAGAGTTTGTTTTTCATACATGACAGTTTCGACCGCTCGCAACTGTCATGTATAAAAAACAAACTCTTGGTCTGTAGAAAGAATATAACAACATAAAATATCGGAAAACCAAATGAATCTCATTGGACCAATAAATACATAAATAAATAAATTAATAAATATGTATTAATAAAATGTATTAATAAATGTATTAGAAGCTACAGCAGGGGTTGGCAATCATTTTTTCCATGGGGCCACATGAAAAACAGAAAATATTGTGAAGGGCCAAAATATTTAGCAAAATTCTGCTTAATATTAACTGTATTTCTTTATAAAAAGCCGTAAAATATTGTAATTATATTTTCTATTAAAATATTGATAATTTTCTGTAATTTTCTGCAGTGTTTATCATAGCAGCGTCTCCAGCGTCTCTGTACGTGGCCCCTCCCACCAGAGCAGCACAAATGAAGACTTGTCTCTTTCCAAACGCTCTTAAAGGACGATCGTTTTGACTGTTGACCGTGACACCCTCATCAGAAAAATGTCAAAAATGAGAAAAGTGGAGCCGAGTGCAGGATTTTCCAAGAAAAACTGACTTATTCCTGTTTGCATACAAGTTCATGTTAAAACATTGTGTTGAAATTGTATTTTTCTTAAAGTTTCAGGTTGTTCATAATATTATAATATTTTGTAAAAGAAAGAGTTCATCAATTAAAAAAGATTTCTGTAATAGATTTGTGTTTCTCTGCACAAATATTTGAACTTACTGCTATTTTTGAGGTATATATGCCATATATACCAAAATGAGTATATATGGCACATATATAGTTTTCTGATCCGGCCCCTTTGGGATCAAAGTAGGGTGGATACGGCCCCCGGACCAAAATGAGTTTGACACCCCTGTCTTAAAGGGATAGTTTGGGTTTTTTGACATGAATCTGTATGGCATCCCTATGAGCAGTGTCGTGCATCCACACTGGCCGGTTTTGGTGCTGATGAAAGTGGTCAAAACTTCACAATGCAGCTTTAGTCCGTGCATGAGGTAAAATTACAAAATATGTTTATTTTGTAATTCCAAATGAGCTTAAACGGGTCAGTCAGAGTCAACCAAAGGCCTGTATTTGACCCGGGAGCTGAACAATGTCCAGGTCTGAGCTACAGGCAAAATGAACTCAAAAGAATTATTTAAAATTTGAATAGATTTTTAAAAATATATCATGTAAGTAAGTAAGTAACTGTACTGTAAGTAAGTAAGTAACTGTAAGTAAGTAACTGAGTAACTGTAAGTAAGTATGTAACTAAGTACTGTAAGTAAGTAACTGAGTACTGTAAGTAAGTAAGTAACTGAGTACTGTAAGTAAGTAAGTAACTAAGTACTGTAAGTAAGTAAGTACTGTAAGTAAGTACTGTAAGTACTGTAAGTAAGTAAGTACTGTAAGTAAGTAAGTAACTAAGTACTGTAAGTAAGTAAGTAAGTAAGTACTGTAAGTAAGTAAGTAACTGAGTACTGTAAGTAAGTAACTAAGTACTGTAAGTAGTAACTGAGTACTGTAAGTAAGTAACTAAGTACTGTAAGTAAGTAAGTAAGTACTGTAAGTAAGTAAGTACTGTAAGTAAGTAAGTAACTAAGTACTGTAAGTAAGTAAGTAGTAAGTACTGTAAGTAAGTAAGTAACTGAGTACTGTAAGTAAGTAACTAAGTACTGTAAGTTAGTAACTGAGTACTGTAAGTACTGTAAGTAAGTAAGTACTGTAAATAAGTAAGTACTGTAAGTAAGTACTGTGAGTAAGTAAGTAACTAAGTACTGTAAGTAAGTAAGTACTGTAAGTAAGTAAGTACTGTAAGTAAGTAAGTAGTACTGTAAGTACTGTAAGTAAGTAACTAAGTACTGTAAGTAAGTAACTGAGTACTGTAGTAAGTGTAAGTAAGTACTAAGTAAGTAAGTAAGTAAGTAAGTAAGTACTAAGTACTGTAGTAAGTACTGTAAGTAAGTACTGTAAGTAAGTAAGTACTGTAAGTAAGTAAATAAGATTTCTCTTCTTTCTCCTCCTTTTCATTCATTTTTTGTATGTCTGATGTTGTGACACTCTCGATGTCTTTTATATTTTATGAATGAAATAAATAAACAAAATATAAATTAAATTAAGTACGTTTTTTAAATTTAAATTTAAATAGCACGTTTCACAGACATTTGTCACAAAGACGCTGGTGGAGGCCATGGGGCAGACTCACTGAAGCCAATCGGCGCCATTCCCCCGTCCGACCACCACCATCACTCACACACACACACACACACACACACACACCACTTTCTTACTAGGCAACGTGGGTAAAGTGTCTTGCCTAAGGACATAATGACAATCTTTTTGTGGCACCTGATTTTCCCAGCGGTCTCCCATCCAAGTACTGACCAGGCCCGAATTTGCTGAGTTTCTGAGATCTTTAACAAGGCCACAATACCATTTAAAACTTTTTTTTTGCCTTATTTATAAAAGAAAACAAACAAGATGAACAACAGACTGCTCGTCCTCGTCGGTCAGATCCACCGGCCCACAGGTTGGACGTGTCATTCCAGCTCGTACAGATGAATACTGCTGTTGTGTCCTTGGGCAAGACACTTAACACACCACAAACCTGCGTGTCTGCCTAAACTGCGTGTCTGAACGTGTGAGTGGGTCAAGATGTAAAGTGCCTTGAAGGTAGAAAAGCTCTACATAAATATTTTACTGGGCGTGACAAACAGACCGACTTCATTATTACATCCAGCTGATTTTATTGAAAATGCAGGAACAAGACAACAGCAGAAGAATACAACTTAAAATGTACCAAAAGAGATGCTATGTTACAGTTAGGATCAAATCATAACTTACTGACATTATCTGAGGTTCAAATATCGATATGGTGAAAGTATTTATAACCGAGTTTGTTTTAAAAAAAAAAAAAAAAAGGCCCACTCAGCGAACTGTGGTTTAGGCTGTTCGCTGCTGCCCTCTACTGGCGCATGCTCGGTCATAACATCTCAAAAAGTTAGTATTCGCTTTACAAAAACCTGTCAAGTTTCAACTATTATTGTCAGACTAGTTCCTATTGCTACCACTGGGCACGCCTCTGTGAGCATGGTTACACTACCGTCTGTACAGGGACAATAGAAAAATAAGGATAAAACCATGGAGCGTGTGGGATTGTTCAAAACAAATCTGCTGAATATGTACTGATTAAATAACAAATGAACGTAAGACAATAAATACGTGTTTTTGTCTGAACGTGTGTGTCTGTAAACAGTTGGTTTCTACAAAGCGGAGTACCAAAGATTGTAAAATGGAAAGAAATATTATCTTAAAGGAACTGTATGTAAGATTTTGACTGTAAATTTCATAAACCAGATACATGTTCAAATCCAATATAACTTTTACTGATAACAACTGATTTGCTGATTTATGTTTAATTATAGAAACATTATTTTACATCATTTATGGTACAATTTGGTGTTTTGGTTCAAGACAATTATCCAATCAGAAAGCAGAATGAGCCTCACACAAGTCTCTCATTTGGGTTGCCAGTTTCGGTGGAGAAATCCAGCCGGTTTCAACCTAAAATGCCTCTCTCTGATCTGAATTGTCACTACCTAAACCCCAGAACCTACAGTCAATCCTGAATCAGTGCTAGTGCAGCCTCTGTAGCTCCTGGAGGGAATTCTAGAGGTTCTGAGCTTTCACATGAGGCATGGTGTGTCCATATCCACCTTATTCTCTCCCGTCCACTTTTGCCTCTAAATGCTCCTGAGCTGTGTTTTTTTGTTGTTGTTGTGGTGTTAGTTCTGGTTAAACAAGGATCCCATTCATGTCAATGGAGAATTTGGGAAACATTTTGCATCTTAAATATGACATAAAGTCGGGTTCATTTGTGTAAAATGTTCAGTGTTCATGTGCACCAACAATAGCCTGATTCATCAGCGGATTTCACTTCAGCATTACGATTCGTTTGCTCGACGGTAGGCAGGCACTTTTTTTATTTAACCAAACACTGTTATTTGGTTGTGACGTATGTAATGCGCCAAATCCCGTAGAAAGAAGGGTAATAATGTCTTTCCACTTGATAAAATTCACCAAACATTCTCTTTGTTCCAACTTTAAATCCTTGATGTCGGGAATCGTTGCCAACACAGAATGTCTGTCTTTGTCTACATCCACCTCGACCGCTTTGTTTACTGTTGTGCTGTTCCACAAAAGGGACCCAGACAGGCGCTTGAGTTTGACGTCATGGCTTCACAGCTCTTCGCTGATTGGCCGGTGCGCAGTCTGCAACTTCTGGGGTTCTTGCAAACCGTCTAGTGTATTCTGATTCCTGACCTAGTCGCTGGAGAAAAATGAAATTGAGGGGAGGCACTAGGTGGCGCCAGCCTGACTACACCAACAAGTCACACTGCACCGATTCTCTGTAGGGCTTTAAAACGGTAAAAAAAGTCCATATTGAACTTATTTACTGTCAAGATCGACCCCATACAAAATAATACAACCCCAAATGATGACGGTGGCGCCCACGGCAACTTCCCGAATAAGGTGGATATTAAGAAACACTTGGATGTGTCCTTTATCTGCAGGTGAAGACTCTGGCAACTAGGGCTGTGCAAAAACATTGAAATAGCGATATATCGTATCGTTTAATTTGATAATACAGTATCGATATTGTGGGCTGCTGTACCGATATATCACCATGAGTCATTTTTGGTACATTTTACCAAATTATTTTGCGTAAAAGCTACAAAAGTGTAGACATTTTCACTGTTTTGATGAGTAAAATTGGTGTTTTTCATAATAATTTTGCATAAATTTAGTGGACTTGGTAAACTTTTAGTATCACAGCCATGATTTAGCCTTTTTTTCACTGAACCGTATTGCATCGATGTGAAATATATCATATTGAATCGTATTGAATCAAAAGATCACTGTTTGGATAAAGTGTATTGTGGCCCATGTATCAAGGTATGTATCGTATCAACAACTGGCAATTGTAGTACCTTTTTAAAAAATATAAAATAATGGACTACATACAGTTCCTTTAATTTGCCCTTATAAGTTTGGACATAATCAGTAGGAATGATACTTTAAGAAGCTCGGGTCATTAGGAAAATAGCCTCTGAACTGCAGTGTCGTCACACTGCAGCGGGCGAAGCGTTCCAGCTTTGTAGATTTGTATTAGTGATCGACATGATAAAGTGAATATGCTTCAGACATAAACATAAAACACAAAATAAAGTGTGTGCAAACCTGCCGTGGGATATATTCACAACAGTGGCTTTGTACAGAAGTAACAGCTGAAGAAACGACGATTGTGCTGCCTAAAGAAAAGCAAAAGGTTCTAAACGTAAAGGCACTGTACCCGATTTTTGTCACATGTTTTCGAGCAAAATTAGTCTCACTGCAGTACAGATATATTGGATAAGCAGCTCTTGGGGTCAAAATAAGTTTGCAGTGTGCTGTAGTAAGATATTAAGCATTTAATTGTCGGGAAATAAGAAGGAAAACCTCCACACTGGCCTCTACAAATTGTGAAAAGTGCTTATAAACTCACGAATGAGTGGTTAGAAGGCATAAAGTAAGTGAGGAATAACTTTGGCCCACTAAAAACTGTTGGAAATTAAACAGTTTTTTCGGGCTGTGGGCTTTTAGTCATTGGGTCCATGGTGTCTGAGTCATTTTATTTAGATTACGAGAGGAGAGTGAGGTGGGCGAAGATTTTGTATTTTGGGGGATTTATTTAAAAAAAAAAAAAGAAGATTAAATTCATGATTCAATAATCTGTTTTTATATAAATACATGGTTTCCAAGTACTTTTTTCTGTGCAAAATAAATAGCAGATTTAGCAGGAACTCCCCCTGCAGGTGTAGTGTTGTGAGTGAGTTTGGTGAGCTTTTACCATGCTCTCTTTTTAGTTGATCAGCAGCATGATCAGCATGCTTTTAGTCCAACAAGAATTGATTTTCTAGCAGACTGACGAGTGAAAATCAGGTACAGCGCCTTTAAATACAAATAAAAGTGTTGTCCATAATGTTATATAGGTGGTACAACTTATCAAACATGGGATTGGTGTTGTGTTGGTCTCTCTCCTCCTGTAGTACTCTGTCTCCTTCTCCTTCTGTCGTACCCTCCCTCCTCCTGTAGTACTCTCCTCTCTCTTCTGGTCGGTTCTTCCCGGTTCACTGTTCCTCCAGCCAGGACGGTTTGTCTGAGCCCGGGGGCTTTAGCTTCACGTTGAACTGTATGAGAGTTTGTTCCAGCTGCTGCTGGTTTCCTGCAAAGTACGCTGAGATGGCGTTGTGGAAGAGGAGGAGCTGCTTGTGCATCACCTTCACCTGCACAACACACAAGAACAGCACATTATCACTTTTGTCTTTCTACTGCTGGGTTTCAGAAGCCTGATTCATCAGTCTGACCTTGCAGCATTAGGATTCGTTCACTCGACGGTAGGTGGGTACTTTTTTATATTTAACCAATCGCTGCTATTTGGTCGTGACGTATGTAATGCACCAAATCCTGCAGGAAGAAGGGCAATAACGTCTTTCCCCTTGATAAAATTCACCAAACATTCTCTTTGTTTCGGCTTTAAATCCTCGATCTCGGGAATCGTTGCCAACACAGAATGTCTGTCTTCGTCTACATCCATCTCGATCGCTTTGTTAACTGTTGTGTTGCTCCACAAAAGGGACCCAGACAGGCGCTTGAGTTTGACATCATGGCTTCACAGCTCTTCTAATTGGCCGGGGCGCGGTCTACAACTTCCGTGATTCTTCTAAACCGTCTAGTGTATTCTGATTCCTGACCTAGTCACTGGAGGGTAAATTAAATTTAGTGGAGGCACTAGGTGCTGCCAGCCTGGATAGCAGGTAATATGAATATTGTTTAAATGCAGATTTCTGTTGTAATACACTGAATTTTTGGGTCTCGTCAGTAATTAAAATGATCAGGTTCAGCATTTGTGAATTTGCCTATTGGATATTTCATGGTAAAGAACAAAGTAATCAATAGGAAAAACTGTCTCTTGCCTCCATCTGAGAGTATCACACCATCACACTCTATAATCTGAAAACCACAGATTTTTCGCACACGTTTATTGGAGAAAAATGTTGGATGTTACACTAGACAATGTGAGGAATTTAAATCACATGCCCACTGTGCGTTGGTGCACTCGATCTGACTATGAACAAAATCCTCCAGGCTCCGTGTGGTAACGCCTCCCTAATTACAATGGTTATCTGAGGCTAGAGCTGCATGCGACCACTATTTTCCTGTTTGCAAAAGTTACTAAATGAAAGGAAAAAAAGGGAGAAATGGGCCTGTTCACAATGAAGCATTTCTGCTGTTCCTGAGGAGCATTTGTGTTTACTGATGGGGACAAAGATTGATCGCAGACGCAGTGAGAGGAGTGTTCACTCTGAGACCAAGACTCCAAAACATCTCACATGGTTTATGTCAGCGGCAGCTCGTCTTTGGTCGTATGACAGCTCTACATTTAATCTGTGGCCCTGTCTCACTCTGACACCCACGCCCCGCCATTTAGATTCAGACTCAAGATTTATACCATGATCATAAATCTGTCATCTCTGCTGTCCAGAACCGTGAAATGGACATCCGGTCTAACACAGAAATATGGGACCAACCTTGTTTTCCTCGAGGAACTTGAGTTTGATGGTGACGTCGCTGCGCAGCCTCTCGTACTTGTCCCTGTAGTGCTGGTACTCGTGCTGGGCCATCTCGATCCGGACCATAGAGGCAGCGTCTCGAGGGCCCAGGCTCAGCTCCTCCAGGTCAGACCGGTACGCATCAAACTCCAGCCTGAACAAGACACAGAGACACAGAGACAGATGGATGGATGAATGCACAGATAGATAGGTGTCTGATCCTGCTCCTCTCTGAGCATACTCATACAGAGCCTTACCGTGCGTTCTCATAGAGCTTGATGGTCATGAGCGTGTCCTCCATGGTCTTGTTGACCAGAGTGTCCACACTGGACACAAAGAAGCTGATGGCCCCCAGCAGAGACTCTCCGTTCTTACACAGCAACTTCTGAGTCTCTGCGTTGTACCCAAACTCATCCTGAGAACACACACACAGACAGACAGAGGATATTTCTTTAATACTCTTCATATAGAGAATTTAAATAAATGTAGTGCATGAGTTCATGGGTTAGTTTAAAAGAACCGTATGTAAGATTTTAATCATAAATGTCATAAACATGACACATCTGTGTCTCCAGATACAAACATGTTTAAATCAAACATAACTTTTACTGATAACAACTGTAAGGCAATTACAAAAACAATGGACAACATGGCCGAGTTGTTTATTTTATAATTTGGTGTTTTGCTTCTCAGTGCGATTATCCAATCAGAAAGCAGAGTGAGCTTCATGGTCTTTCATTTGCATTGCAAGTTTCAGTGCTGAAATCCAGCTGGTTTAAACCTAAAATGCCTCTCTCTGATCTGAATGGTCACAACCTAAACCCCAGCACCTGCATATTAATCATATATAAATATATAAATCCTATCAATTCATCAGAAACCTTGATAAATATTGTTAAATACACTATCACATATGGTGCTTACAAATGCTTTCAGATGTGCAAACATCATTGTCTTTATAACTATCTAAACATTGCTATGCCTCGGTAAAGAGCAGTGTGGCACCTGTAGCTCGGGGGACTTCTGGCTGAGGTCGGTGAAGGTGTCTCCGAGAGCCTGCTGGGTCTGCACCATGCTCTGGAAGTGTGAGCTCAGGGCTGTGGCTAGTCTCAGTATGTTCTCGTACTTTAGCTTTGTGTCTCGTAACAGGTCGATCTGAGCCTCCAGCTCCAGGTCCACTGTCCGAGAGCCTCGGCCGAAGCGCTCTGAGAACATCTGCTTGGTGCACTGCACACACACACACACACACACACACACACGCACACAGACACAAAGACACACAGACATCGCATCACAATGCAATCAGATGTTATTGAGGTCACAGTGGTAGAAATACTTTGAAAGAGTTCTGCATTTGGCAGCATTTGGCCGGGCCATAGTTTGGACACTCCTGGTCTAACCTATGATTCAAAATCAATGATGATTATTTGACATTAAATTGTTCAAGTGGAAAGCAGCATTTTAGGTAAAACCTGGCACATTCCTTCATTCTTCATTCTTCATTCGTGACTTCTGCTACTTATACTTCTAATGTTTTTGGCATTCACAAAATGTGTTCTCATCTTAACTGAAAATGTTCTTCTGGAAGAACAAACCCTACGAACAGTCAGGGGCGTTCGTGAGCCAAAAAAATCTGCTCTTTTACAATTTTATTATACCTATAATGCATCCAAAATGTTTCAGGACTGTAAGTTATTAAAAATACATAATGGGTGGTAAAAAAATGATCAGGTGTAATACTCTCACTTATTTCAGTAAGTGCCATATGGTCCAACTGAGCGCGCCCATGTGCGTATGTAAACACAGATGTAAATGAGGTGCAATTCTAATTTAAGAGGAATTTGGTTTTGATTAAGAGCACATAATGAATCCAGCACAAAATGTTCTCAGTGTTAGAGTTTCTTAAAGTAGAAGTTTCCTGTGAAAACATTCATGAATTAGGCCCAGTAACTTCACAAAGCACTTTTCATCTTACAAAGCAGTTCACGCTATTCCCTAACACACACATCCTCATTACTAATACCAAAGTGTCTGAGCCTGTTACCTTGTACGTGTTAATGCCCCATTTCTTTACACTGTCCAGCTTCTCGACGGCCACTCCTCTGGTCAGCTCCTCCGTCGAATTCCCCGAGTTGTGATTGGACGATCCTGTAAGACAAGACAATACAAGTGTCCTCATCTCGTCTGCAGTGTACCAGTGACAGTCCCATTTCAAATCACACAAAAGGCTATTACCACAGAAGAACAGGTGAGAAATAATGACCAGTGACAGAGTAATGTAATATGATGAAAATGGAGGTACCTGGCTGGGCTTCTCTCTGATGGGCCATTCGATCAGTGGACTGGCTGTTGGCTAAATTAACTCCCCGGGATTTCATGCGGATGTCTGGAATGAGGACGGTAATGACAAAAGTATGAAGAGATGGAAAATATGGTGTAAAAAAAAAGAAATAATAATGAAGAATGTGAGACAATGCAGTGAGTATATGAGTGCATGTTAATCCACCATGCAGCCTGGTTCATGCCGAGTACAGTACAGGATTAAAAATAAAGATTACACGTTGAGTGAAATATGCCCAGGGATGAGAATCAAAATAGTGTGATGGTGTTACAGTTTAGAGAATTTTTACAGAAACTTTTACGACAATTCTATGGCACTAACAAGTCTTTTTAGATTTGAAATAGGTAATGTTGTATTAATTGCCAAGACGTAACATATTTAGATCACCACGTTACCTTTTATTGTTGTGAAAATGCTATATTCGCCGAAAACACCGCATCAAAAGTTGGACAGACTTCTATTAACAGTAATGAGTGCTCGAACAGGGCCCAGGATAGATCACTAGATTACTTAAACATGCATGGATGACGTCTAAATCCTCTTCGGGCATGTTTTTGACGAGTGAACATTATAACATGGTAGAAAAAACGCAATTTCGCACTTTGAGCAACTTTTGGAGGGCCATCACCTGCGTCTCAATGGGGATGGCGTTACTTGGCCTGGAATGTTCCACAGCATGGCATTAAACAATCTACCACAGGCTTTTTGCTGAAAATGTGATATCACCTACTTCTCTCTACTTTCTAGTGCCCTATTGTAGAACATTCCAGGGAAAAAAATAGCGTTACATACTGTCTGCTAGGGATGTAACATTAAAGGTTGTATGGAGGATTTTTTTTGTTTCAAATTGTCAGTGAAATTGTCATCTTTCACTGATATTTTTAGTTTCAAATTGTCATTGAAAGATGCAGCAGTCTTGTAATTATAATGACCAAAAAAACAAAACAATGAAAATCTGTCAATTGTGGATGTAGTGAGGCCAGATAAACATCAGCCAATAGAAAACAAGGCTACCTCATTTTCTATTGGCTGTTAGGTTGTCAATCAAACTCCCTACATTTCTAGTGTAACTGACTCGACAGCGCACGGGGATTATGTGCTTTATGCAGCGGTTCTTAGAGGCTTTTTCAAACTGTAGCTTGCTCGCAATTCACACAGAGTTTGTTGCGATCGCGGATGAGACTCGACGACCAGTTCGCCGCAAAAGAAAGTCGGTTTTTGAGGTGGCTGAAAGAAGAAGAGAAGGGGAAAAGGAGCGAAGACAAACTGAGGTGATTCTTGGAGATTCAGTGATGGCGCAGCTGACGAAGATGAAGGGTCTAAAAACTGACGCGTCGGTCGCTAAAATATTTCTCGACAGGTCACTTCAACAGTAATTCTGAACGTGCACTGGATGTAAACAAGCGTGATTTCTATAGTAAAGAGGTGGTGTCACACATGCACAACATTTGAAAAAGGACTGTCGCTCTATTTCACTTCCCTTAAAAAAATCCTCTATACAACCTTTAACCGAAATATTGTAATATCGTATCGTCAAACATGACACAATAATATAGAGAGCTGTCACAATATATCAAATTACAAGGTTCTTTGCTTAAATGCCTTGTTTTATAGTAGCAACAGTTAATAAATATAGAGAACTACATATCCCATGATTCATTTCAGTGCAGACAACATGAAGAAATGTGTTTTTTACTTGAATTCTTGGGATTATGACAGGAATAATTTGCACCAAAATCTTGTAAAGGTACTTTAAAAGCAAAAAATATCTACTAGGGATGGTACAAAATTGTTACAAGATCGTGCACACAAGAGAAAAATTATCTCGTGTTTATTATTTACATTGGACAAAAAATAATTACTTATTGATGAGTTGGATCGCTTCCAATTCCAAAGAGCAGTACTAAAGTGTAAACAAAAATATGAAATCAAATAAATAAAAATTGCAAGATCAAAATTGGAAACTGAATCATGAAATTTATAGATTAGGAATTATTTTAAAATCATATCTTGTCTCGTTCTCATGGACCCAATCTCGTTTCTCGTCTCGTCTTGTGGAAATTGTGTCTTGTCCCATTTCTACAATCTACAATTATATTAACCTTTCCAAAATATCGTAATAAATATCGTACGGTGAGATGCGTATCGTCATAATATCGTACAGAGAGATTTGGATATCGTTACATATTATTTTGCTAATGAAAAGAAAATATTGCTTAATCATCACTTTTGATTCTCAGCCCTCGAACAGCAGTCACAGTTTACATTTAAAACACTGAAAAAAGATTTAGAGACATTTCTTTATCACAAACGCAGTCAGTGCAGCATATCCTGTTAGTCCACTCCTACAAAGATTATTAATTATTATTAGAATTATTTTCAATTCAATATCAGGAAATATCAGGAATAAAAATTACAAGCAAAATTGCATCCAGCCCCTTTGTGCAAGCCAAACCGAAATGCCAATTACAGCGCAGTCCAAGATCTTAAAGGTGCATTGTGTAACTTTTCTGGTGTAGGGTTTGTCACCTGCTTGTTTCTATGGATACTGCTCTGCCTGTCCATGGAGAAAAGCATTTAACAGACCCTCCACCGGAAAACTTACACAATGCACCTTTAAGGAAGAGTAGGATTGTTTAGTTAGACTCTTGGGTTGTGTTCACATTCTGACTAAGAGATGTCAAGATTGCAGATGGAGGGCAGGGTCAACATTGAAATGTCTATAAAATGCTTAACAAATACTTAATAGTTTTATGTTAGTGATTAGGTAAAAAAATCTACTATATAAATCATGTGACATAATGGTCATAAGGTCTTGCAAAACTGTATTTAATTTTCTTTTAACTGTCATGTTTCTCTTATATACTGTTTTTGTCAATGTTGTTTGTATTATAATAAAAAATAAAACATATATAGATAAAAAAAAAAAAACCTAAGATACTCTTTTCTATACACATCAGCTATCAATGCTTTTAAAAGGACATAAAAAGTACAAATTATTTTAGAATATTTTAAATATAGTTGTACTTTTCTGTGCACTAGACAGAGGTGGGTCCAAGTCGTCGTTTTGCAAGTCTCAAGTAAGTCTCAAGTCTTTGACCTCAAGTCCGAGTCAAGTCCCAAGTCATATACAGGCAAGTCCAAGTCGAGTCTCGTGTCTCTGGCCCATAAGTCCAAGTCAAGTCCAAGTCGTCTGCTTTGAGCTTCAAGTCATTTCAAGTCTTTAAACCAAAGTACCAAATACATCACAGATTTTTGCAGTTAATATAATGTTTAAACTAAATTGTACTTAAACAGTCTTGGTATATTTATATATGAGTATTTATATAGGAGTTGTAGAAATGTTAATTTTTCCTTTTTAAGTGCCTTGACAAGAGTGCAAATTATTATGATCAAAACGGAAAGAATTAAGATTTAAGAGCTCTTAATAATAGTTAATTTGTCAACTAGTCTAAGTATCAAGTCTTCTCAAGTCACTGAGCTTCAAGTCTGAGTCGAGTCCCAAGTCTTTGTCTATTTTATCAAGTCAAGTCTCAAGTCCTGACAATAGTGACTCAAGTCTGACTCGAGTCCAAGTCACGACTTGCAAGTCCCCACCTCTGTTACTAGAGACAATTAAAGGTCCTATATTACACAAAATTGAAGTTAAGTTAATTTAAGTCATGTTATACTGATGTTACCTCATCAAAAACAGACCTCGAGTTGTGTTTTGTTTCATTCACACATGTTTAAGTAAACCTTTATCGGTCTGTCTACATCTCCCAAGCTCAAAATGCTCTGTTCCACCCTGTGATGTCACGAAGCAGTAGTTTTCAGCTCCTTTTACCTTTAGTTCAGTAGAGATTGGCAATTCCAGGTCTGAAATTATCCATATATTTCTAGTGAAGGTGTGTGGAGTTTAAAACACAGTGGAGCACTTCCTGTATTACCAAATGACATCACAATGTGGTCTTCCCGTTTGAGAGCAGAACTCAGCCTAAATACGCAGGATTTGTGAGTTAAACATGTGTGAATGAAACAAAACACAACTCAAGGTCTGTTTGTGATGAGGAAACAACATTATAACACAGATCAGAAAATAGTGTAGACCGTTAAACAAAAAAATTAAACAACAAATTCTATCATGGACTCTTTTCTCCTACCCTCCACCTATAGATTATCTTGATATTGGGTGAACACAGCCTGTATACTGCCACCTGGTGCAGGAGCAGGGCCCCGCCTCCGCTCCAGATACTCGGGGTTGTAGTGAACGGCAGGTCCTGGGAGATATGGAGGTTTGAGGCACAATGTGAAAAAGTGAAATGAACATGGTTTAAATGTGTGTGTGAGATCAGATGGAGCTCAGAGCAGATGGACAAAGGAGCTCTGAACAGTCTCCACAGGAGCACAAGCTGGAAACCAAACAGTATTAGTATGGTATGAAATAATAGTTAAGGTGATTTTAATCTTTCCTTCTTTCTTTCTTTCTTTCTTTTCTTTCTTTCTTAAATAAACAGCAATAGCTCCCAAATTTCTATTTTCGTGACACCAACATGATGTAATTTCACTTTTAATGACATTAAAATAAAAATTCGAGAGCTCCAAAAAACTGCAGAGCAGATCTGCTTTTTCTTTTGCACAGTTTTTGTCTTGGGACCCAGCATGTGGTCGCAACTTTTATTGGATGTGCATGTCTCTATGTACGACTAAATTAGATCAACTCACTTAAAACTGACAATATGATGAAACAAATGATGATGGTACATATATGGCTGGGAGTCAGGTCTACTCCTCAGGATGTTTTTGCTACCTTTTTGTCACTATTATTTCCTGTTATCTTATATCATGGGCCATCACAAGTTGAGCGGAACCAACCCCAACTCGGCCCCATTTGGTCTCAGGGCCCAAAAAACACTCTTTTTTAGGAAATGCTACTGGCGAAATTATGCCACTGTAAATATTAAGGTACTGTAACTGCATAAATGGTCAAATAACCCTAAATTTTTGCATGGTGTATCCTGGGGGATGGGGGAAACTAGCAGAAAACTATTCTGAGGCTTGCTCCCTTTCTACTGTCAAATATCACCCTCAACATCCCCCAAAAGACAAAAAAAATGTCTGCATGACAAATTGCAATCAAAAGTGATCATTTTCAAGCATTTTATTACATATATCACTGCCTCAAATGTACATGAAAAACTCCCGAAGTTTATGAGCTTCAATTTAAGCCCAAGATGACCTTTGTATCGAGAAGGAAACAGCTGCTATGACCAAAGTTCTTCACTGTGCCTCAAATCAGCAGAAAACACAAGTTTGCAAGATAAAACGATGGTAACCTAATATAAAAGTTGAGTGAGTGTAGCCTGCTGTAGTGGCACGGTGATGCCAGGGCAGAGGGGGCAGTACTGAGTGACCTGGAGGACAGTGGCTCACACAGACTTGGGCCGTGTCTCATTTCTCTTTCCTCGCTTCCTTCTCCTTGATTCCTCTCCTTTATTCTGCTGGAAATGGGTGAGGAAGTCCCACCACAGAGGAGACAAAGCGAGGAGAGAGGATCTAAACTCATCACTGAGACCAATAATGTTTGATTATTTTATCTGACGTCTGCCTTCTGAAGCCTCCCTCATGTTTACTCCTTCCTTCTGTGGTTTTCTTTGGGACACCACTTAATATGACGCATTTCATTGACAGCTGAAAAATGGAGTATCGACGAGAGGAATCGAGGAAACAGAAACGAGACGCGGCCACAGACGGAGCAGGTGCACAGTCGTACCTTTAATGCTGCTGGTGGGGATGATGCCCCCTGCTGGTCCCCCGTAGCCTCCGGACACGATGCTGGTTTCATTCAGGTTGGGCCCAGACACCATCACCTGCTGCAAGTCCTGAGGGGGAGACAATAACAACAAATATGGAAGAAGATCACGATAAAAAAAAAGAAAAACGTGGTCTTATAATAGTTCTGATATATAAGAGATCTGATTATTTTTAAAAAATCCAAAAAGTTATTACAATTATGTCCTGTTTGTCTGATTTTGTGTTTGTTTTCATAATAAATGTATGTTCGAATCTATTTTCAGTACAAATTTTTGTAGGAATAAGTATCTTCTTTCTCAACAATACTACTTAATTCTTTCTTAAAAATACTACATGATTGACTTACGTTTAATAGCATTTAACACCACTTTTAAATGATTGCAGCAAATACTGTAATCACATTTAAAACTGTAACAGTTGCAGGGCCCGTCTCTATAACTAGGAAATTAAAAAAAAGAATAAAATAGAACTTACTGGCAAAAATGTTTGTAAGTTCTAGTATGTCATTTTTGTTCATGGAGATGTGATTGCATTGCATTAAAGACGGGGTATTTTACTTCTACGTGGTATTAACTGCTAACATACAACATATTTAGATCACCATGTTACCTTTTATTGTTTTGAAAATGCTGTATTGACTAAAAACGCGCTCCCCCTTCAGAGCACTATCACAATACAATCAGCTAATCACTAATCACGGTCACTAATAAAACTACTGCACATCACATCAGGTTTTTCAAGTTGTTGTGTACAGTTTTGTATCATGTTTTTGTATATTTATGGAGAATCGTCGTGTGTGGGAGCGTGGGTGGCTTAGGCTTGTGGGCAGAACAATGAATAGAATTGTACTGCCAACCATAAGGAGGGTTTGAATAGGGCCAAGGGGAGATCACTACATTACTCAAACATGCATGGATGACATCTAAAACTTCTCTTCAGGCATGTTTTTGATGAGGGAACAGCGTTAAAACATGGTAGGAAGGTTGAAAACAACAACAGCAACGACAATTTTACGTAATACTTCCCCTTTAAATGGATTTATCTTACATATATTCAGTTGCTGGTGCTTTTATTGGTAAATAGTAAATTGAAAAAATAAATTCTTAACAGGGATGGGGCAAGATCTCAAGGCACAAGCTCCAGCAAGAAAATTATCTCATAAAATTTTTTCCTAAGGCTTTAAAAATGCCTTGGACAAAAAAGGGGTTAACTTTACTGATTTGAAATGAACTTTACTGTGAAGGTGCACTATGTAACGTTTCCGCTGGAGGGTCTGCTGACTGGTCTCCATGGAGATATTACTGTTTTACTACCTTATTCCACAGTACGGAAATAAAGTTGGTAATCACAATGGTTAATGAGACAGGTTAATGGTTGGATCTATGGAGAAGCAAGCCTGCACGTGGTAAGAATTCATGTTTTTAAAGGCATTTTAGAGCTATAAAACACATGTAATGGAACAAATTTTTAATGCACTACTGTGGGGTAGGGCAGGGTATCATTAAGAAGCTTGCAGATGCTTACGATACTTATCTCGATACAGTGCACTTTTGACTTCCATATGATATATTTCAAATTTATTCAATATGGTTCAATAAAAAATAAAGGCTAAATCATGTCTGTGATACTAAAAGTTGATACTTTGTTAAACCACGTCTTGTCCAAAGTGAATATGAAACACACCCATTTTAATCATCAAAACTGTGAAAATGTCAAATGTGAAAACGAGTTTTCTTCCACTAAACAATCAACAAAACTGTAGTGCTGTAACAAAATAATTTTGTAAAAAAAATACTCTTGACAATATATCGATACAGCAGCCCATGATATCGATACTGTATCATCACATTAACTGATACGAGCCCTACTGCAAACATTCCAGGCAAAGAAATAACATCTCCATGGAGACAAGCAAATAGCTGACCCTCCGCCTTAGGAAGCTACAGAAGCTGTAGCTCCAAACAGCAGTGCGACAGTGACAGGAAAACTATTAAATAAAATCAATCAAAAACTGAGAGGCCACAATTTTTGAAAAATTACATAGCGTGTTTTTAAAGTGTTCTTTTGTTGCTACTGTAGATAAAATAGCCTTTGTGTGCACGAGGAACACTGCACAATACAAACAAAGAAACTGTAAACTTATTTGGTTTAGTTCTCAGATGCTGTCACACCCATGGTAATTCAGTCATGGCCCACGGCAGTTTAAACAGACTACTCCCTACAGTTCAGTACTACTCAAAATCGTGTAATAGTGAAGTCATAGCCAAACTCTTACAAATGATTCATAATTATTACTACAGTATTTACAAACACGAAATACAAGATGAAAATGTCAGAAGAAGAACAGGGACCTATTCAACTCTGGGAGCATTTTTTTTGAAAGAAATCTCCAAATTTATGACTCACAAATGTTGAATTTTAGCATTATTTGTTAGAAATTGGCTCCACAATCATTATTACTGTTTTGTTTGTCTTCTGTCTGTTTTTAAATGTTCTATATAAACCCCAATGGAGTCTGAAATAAAGCTTGATTCATTTTAAGTCCATTCAGCTGACAACAATCACGTTTTTGGGGTTGAATTTTTCCACGATTTATTTTGCAAAAAGAAAAACAGTTTAATCTATTTCAATTACAGAGTAAGGGCTACACAATTCTGGAAAAATGTCTAACTGCAGTTTTTCTAACGAGCATTGCGGTTAGATTTATGATTTATGTTTTAGCAATAGGACTCTTCAAAGGTCACATTCGAATTGACAAAAAGCGCTGTTTTTTTATGCAGAAGAAGACAAAATAAGATATTTTATTGTTTGGGGAAAGTGCAGTCTTTGCGATTTGCTTACTGCGATATTGATTTTTGATTGACCCTAAACAAGTCTTGCAATTTAAGCATTTTAAAGCATTTATTCTACTCTAAAGCAGCAGAATCTATAACAAAAAACATCCATTACTTTCTACAAATGCATGAATCGATGATGACAGTCAAAAATACTATTCCGAGACCACATTTCTCTGCTTTTTATGGAAGATATCGCGTAACCGTTATTTATTTGACCCCGTCCCTTTGTGAGTTTTAAGTTACATCTGCAACTATGATTATAGCACAGAATGATGCAGGCCTGGGTTAGGTTAGGTAACACTTGCACCCCTGACAAAGCAATAAAGATTAAATAAATGAAAAAAACTGTTGTTGCATAGACTTAACGCAAATTTAATCACAATATAAAGAGGTTGCATGAAGTATTATAGCTTTTACAAACCTGTTCTAGGCTGTCATCCTCTGGCAAGCTTCCTGTGTCTCCGTTGCTGTTAATGGGGATCTCCATGGTTGCAGCTTTACTCATAATACTGTCAGCCATGATGCAATTTCTGCAAAAAGATAGGTATTAGCAAAATAAAAAATAAACACATAAAAACAGTAAAATATTATGCAAATGTTATAAAAGATAGTAAATGTATGAGCGGAGTGCTAACCTTGCTGATGTGGCTGCTTACTGACAGCTAGCAGCAGCCTCTCTTACCTACCCCCGCTCGTAGATCCAAAAACCGCTATGTTATGTATGAAAAAATGCGAAACGCTAAAGGTTTACGCGGCGTGTTGGTTCATTTTGTCCAGTTAAACGTTTGATCCATGGTTAGAAGGTAAAAACATTCCACGTTTCATGTTTTCTTCCATAAAAATGAGACTGAAAATCCCTGCATCCATCCAGCCAGCAGCTTAGACAGTCTCCCTTCAAAATAAAAACTCGTGACATGTTTTATGGCGTTTTTAAGAATATACAAACTCCAAAACGAACAATACGTAATCATTTTGTTTATTTATATGTTATTTTAGTAGATATTATGTGAGAGTAATTGTGTTAAGATAGGTTTAAGTTAGTGTACGCTTTTATTGTGAAACGTAATACCTTGAAACGTAGCCCCGCTCCATCTTCCACGTCGTGCAGCGCTGACGTAGACCGAGATGACGCTCTACCGCGGTTCTCCACAAGATGGCGGCGTTTGCTCATAAACAAATCGAACCCACTGAGCTCAGAAAACGCTCACTAATTAAAAGTTAATTAGCCTATAAATCTATCAGAGACGGATAGTGCTCTGTTATTGTTACTTTTTAAAGAAATTATACTTTCTAGCAGCACTTTTACTCCTACTTGAGTAATACTTTTATTGAAGTAACAGTAGCCTACACAGCTACACAGTTGTAGGGTAAAAATTCAGGATTGAGTTTTTCTTTTCTTTTTTTTAAAACACAAAACGTATTATTTCGTATGATATCTATTTGAAAGTTAAATGGGGGTTTGAGTTGGGGTTATTTCCCAGAGTTGTTATGGTTGAACTTAATTCAACTTCTTCTAGAGTTAATTCAACTTCTTCTAGTGTTAATTCAACTTCCACTAGTGTTAATTTAACTCCCTTAGTGTTAATTAAACTTCCCATAGTGTTAATTCAACTTCCACTAGTGTTAATTCAACTTTCTCTAATGTTAATTCAGCTTCCATTAGTGTTAATGCAACTTATTTTAGTGTTAAATCAACTTCCATTAGTGTTAATTCAACTTCCTCTAGTGTTAATTCAACTTCTTCTAGTGTTAATTCAACTTCCTTTAGTGTTAATTTAACTCCCTTAGTGTTAATTCAACTTCTACTAGTGTTAATTCAACTTCCAGTAGTGTTAATTCAACTTCCACTAGTGTTAATTCAACTTTCTTTAGAGTTAATTCAACTTCCGTTAGTGTTAATTCAACTACTCTTAGTGTTAATTTGGCTCCTCCCACCCACCACTTCAAACCCCCATGAGAGAAGACCAGTTTGAACCAGTTTGTTCATAATTTCATTTTAAATTAACTAAAATAAAGTGTACAAATAAAACACCTCTGTGTGTTGTTCAGCTAAATCAGGATAACCCTACCAAGTGTTATCCATTTACTCTCAAAACGTTAATATAACTTTTGACTTCGGGGTTAAACAGAAACTTTGGTCCAGTATTACTTAATTAACATTTCCAAAAATGTTAAATTAACTCTAGAACAGATTGGACTCATACAAACCCTGAGAAAATGTTAAAATTGATTCCGTGAGAGTCAATTTTAACACTCCACTTTTTGAGTAATTTTTGGTTGGGAACGAGACACAATTTTCACGAGACAAAACACACCACGAGATTGGGGTCCACAAGAACAAGACAAGACAAGATTTTGACATCATTTGTAATAAAGAAGTAGTGCAATCCATTTCACAATTTTGGCTTCAGCCTTTTTTAAATTTATTTTCTGTAATACTTAAGTAGTCATTGTAGTCTTGCTTTTTGGAACTACAGCTTCTCAGATTGACTAACTCACCAACTCTTAGCTCTTAACTTTTTTTAATCCAAGCCAAAAGGTAAATTCAAGGGGGAAAAAAATCTCACAAGATCATTTTCTCATGTGTTTCTCTTGTACCAGTTTTGTCTCATGAGATCTTGTCCCGTCCCTATTGGTTACTCTTTCCATTGTAAGTGTCTACTAAGTGACAAAATATTTATGTTAACAATATGGAATGATTTGAACATATTATAATATAAATACTTACCAGTAACTGTGCTCAATAAGCAAAAGAGTCTGTACAAAAGCACTTTCCCTAAACAGCACACAGCATTCTTTTTACAACCTCTATCAGAGGAGGTGGAGCACGATTATTAAAAACTTTATATGCCAAAATTAAAAGTGCATATTTGATTGTGTTGTCCCAATTTAGAAATTTGTATTTGTCAAGTATTCCAGAATAGTGATAATTTGTCTAATTACCTTATTACCTTAAGTGCTTTTTTATAGATAGTTTCAGATAATTTAAGAGTACTTTTGCTTGTCAGAGTCCAACTAGTAATGCAATAAAAATAATAAAATTGGAGCGCTACACTGGATCAAAAAAACGTACGCATACAGGTGCTCATCAAACCGGAGGGCTTAGATTCTCATAAAATAGAAAAAAGATGGCAGAGGCACGTAATGCAATAATTTAGGTGCGGCAAAATCATTGAATACATACATACATATACATACATAATTTCCGAGTTTGTTGTTAGATTATTTCTTAATGCAGTTGCGAGGGTTCGTAGGGTAAAAATGGTTCCGAAAGACCATTAAGACATTTAAAAACCAGTAAAAGAACTTTAAAATATTATTTATTTATTTTTATTTTAGTATTATTACTTTTTATATATATTATCTATATCCATTTAATAATTCATGTTTCTTTACTAACTTTTAATTAATATATTTCTATTTATTTTTATTTATCTATTTATTTATATTTATTATTGTTGTGTGTGTATATATATACATATATTTATTTATATTTTATTTTATTCGTTTTAAGTACATATGGTCACCAAATATAAATCAAAGACTCACCTGCGATTGATGGATTGTATTGTGCAAGTATTGCATAGTGAATGTGTGAATGTGTATGAGTGTGTGAGAGTGTGGAATTAGTTATTTGTTATTATTATTATCATTATCTTTATTGTATTTTATTTACTCATTTTATTATTATTATTATTATATTATTATTATTATTATTATTATTATTGGTTATATGTTGACCTGTGTTAACGTGGTCAGTTGTTCAGATGGAATTTTTATTGTCTGAAAATTAATAAAAAATACTTTGAAAAAAAAAAAAAAGAACTTTAAAATGTATCCTGAAACTCACAGAGAGCCAATGAAGTGATTTTAAAACCGGTGTAATGTGGTCCCGCCTTCTGTCACGGGTCACAAGACACGCGCTGCTGAATTTTGTAAAGATTGCAAACCTGAAATACTCTTTTTGTGAAGACGAGAGAGAAGGCGGGACCACGTTAGACCGGTTTTAAAATCACTTCATTGGCTCTCTGTGAGTTTCAGCTTAATGGTCTTTCAGAACCGTTTTTACCCTACGAACCCTCGCAGCCGCATTAAGACATTTAAAAACCAGTAAAAGAACTTTAAAATCTATCCTGAAACTCACAGAGAGCCAATGAAGTGATTTTAAAAACCGGTGTAACGTGGTCCCGCTCTCTGGTCTTAGTCAGGTCACGTGCTGCTGAATTTTTTAATGATTGGCAAACCTGAAATACTAGAGCATAATGCATTAAGTTCTTATGTATTTTGGATCGTGCCTTTTATTATGTGTCTCAGTGTAGGAAACTCGGCCAAGGACGAGACGAGAAACGCTGAACATTTGCATCTGTCTGAAAGCATTGTCCCTGCCAGAGAAATAAATATAAATAAATAAATAGGTATTTGCGTCTCGAGGCTAATGCTACTTGAAATCTAAATAAATTATTGATGTAACTGCACTAAAATCGGCATCATCTTGCATACAAATATACTCCAGTTGGCAATAGCTTTGAGACACTACTTATATACACACAGAGAAGTTTCCTCCAATTAAGTATTTACATAACAGATCTTAACGTGCTGTCTGTGATTATCCAGCCGTAACTTGGTGTCTGATGCCTGATATTTATCCTGGTTTGTTTCAGCGAGGTTCGGGAGCTGGAAGAGCCAATCTGCATTTTGAAAGAACCGGATCCAGCCAGGCAGCAGAATGAAAAGGGGCGATTATAAAATGTGAGTTATAGGTGTATAAAAGCACCAGCTCCTCCCCGCATATGTAGGTCTGACGTCAGCCTATATTCTGAAACTGAAAACGCCTTTTATGGACTGTTTTCTAGAAGTAAAAGTCTTATACTTATTAGTTTTAAAGGGATTATAGTACACGATTTTCTGATCTGTGTTATAATGTTGTTTATTCATCACAAAAAAAACCTGCAGTTGTGTTTTTGCGTTAATAGTCTGTCTATATTTACAAAGCTCAAAACCCTTGTTGTAATACAGGAAGTGCTCCATTGTGTTTTAAGCCTCCATACACTTTCACTAGAATCATTTGGATCATTTCAGACCTGGAATTGCCAATCTCTACTGAACAAAAGGTGCTCTTGGACAAAACAAAACCCCTGGACAGAAGGGATACTCAAACATGTGTGAATGAAACAAAAAACAACTCCAGGTCTGTTTTTGAGGAGGTAACAACATTATAACACGACTTAAAGCTCACAAGAGTCAATTCTGTGTAATACAGGACTTTTAAGACATATTATAATGTTGTTACTGTAAGGATAAATAACCAGGCTTAGCTATTTTGTATAATCACTTCTGTAGTTCATTCTTGTACCGAGGTCATTTGGAGAAAAGGGGGTGAGACAAATGTATGATATTCTAATCTATCTAATAGCAAACTAACCGAACAGGACAAGAACTACTGATAGGGATGATGTCATGACTTGGTAGCCAGATAATGGAGTCTGATTGGACTGTGGAACGTGCCAAGAGGCCTGGCTGGTCTGTGCATCAACAAAAAGGAGCTAAGTCTAAACCACGGTAGCCTCCCACTATAGAGGCTTTGCACCATCACGTGTCCCCCATGGCAACAGTACCTACGCCGCCATGACACCGGGCACGCTATGTCACTGACTTCAGCAGCATCGGAGAAACATGGGCAGGTTTTGTTGTGTATTTGGTTGTTCTAGACGCTCTGAAAAACGATTCGTTTCTTCACTGTTCCTCGGGAAATTACTCATCAGGAGGATCAAACAAGGGAATTATCGAAAAAAAAAAAAAAAACGGAATTATTGCTAGAGAACATAAACCGCGAAGAGATTTCCTATGGTACCATCAAGACACACTCACGTCACTTTCAT